TGGGCAACAACATAATATAAAAAACAATGTGGTGAATTCATTTAGCAACGGGGCACCCGTGTACGTAGAAGCAGCCGCAGCCAAGACACAGACTTCACGGGTAACAACGAACGTCGTTAAACAACAACAGAATAGACAACAAAATAATGTAAACAACAATGTGGTGAATTCATTTAACAACGGGGCACCCGTGTACGTAGAACCAGCCGCAGCCAACACACAGACTTCAAGGGTAACAACGAACGTCGTTAAACAACAACAGAATAGACAACAAAATAATGTAAACAACAATGTGATGAATTCATTAAACAACGAGGCACCCGTGTACGTGGAAGCAGCCGCAGCTAACACCCAGACAGTTGTTGATCCAACGAACAATAATGGTCCTTTTCTAGACCCAGGTGTTACAGTTGTAGGCCCAGCTCTTCCACCAACCTACAATGATAGTTCAGCTGTTGACCAAGCCCTCACACCAACCTACCATAATGGTCCAGCTGTGGCCTCGGGCCTTCCATCAACCAGCAACAATAGCCCAGTAGTAGACCAGAGTCTTATATCGACCTACAATAATAGTCTAGTTGTAGACCCAGCTCTTCGACCAACTTACAATAACGATCCTGTTGTAGACCCAATTCTCACACCAACCTACAATAGCGGCCCTTTTGTAGACCCAGCTCTTCCATCAACCAGTAATAATGCCCCAGTTGTAGACACAGCTCTTCCATTAACCAGTAAAACTGTTTCAGCTGTAGACCCAGCTCTTCCACCAACCTACAGTAATAGTCCGGCTGTAGATCCAATTCTCACACCAACCTACAATACCGATCCTGTTGTAGATCCAACTCTGACATCGACCAACAGTAATGGTCCATTTGTAGACCCAGCTCTTCTACCAACCAGCAGTAACGGTTCAGTTGTAGACCAAAGTCTGATATCAACCTACAATAATGGTCCAGTTGTAGACACAGCTCTTGTGGACCCAGCTCTTCCACCAACCTACAATAATGGCCTTGTTGTAGACGCACATCTTCCATCAACCTACAATAATCGTCCAGTTGTAGACCTAGCTATTCCATCAACAATCAATAATGGTCCAGTTGTGGATCCAACACTCACACCAACTTACAATAATGGCCCTGTTGTAGACCCAGCACTTCGTTCAAGCAACAATAGTCCAGTTGTGGATCCAACTCTCACACCAACTTCCAATAATGATCCAGTTGTAGACCCAGCTCTTTCATCAACAACTAATAATGGTCCAGTTGGGGATCCAACTCTCACACCAACTTACAATAATGGCCCCGTTGTAGATCCAGCTTTTCCTTCAACTTCCAATAATGGCTCCGTTGTGGATCCAACTGTCACACCATCTTACAATTATGAAAATGTTTTAGACCCAGTTGCTCCATCAACAAGCAAAAGTGGTCCAGTCGTGGATCCAACTCTCACATCAACCTACAATAATGGCCCAGTTGTAGACCCAGCTCTTTCATCAACAAGCAATAATGGTCCAGTTGTAGGCCAGATTCTCACACCAACCTACGTTAATGATCCAGTTGTAGACCCAGCTCTTTCATCAACAACTAATAATGGTCCAGTTGTGGATCCAACTCTCACATCAACCTACAATAATGGTCCAGTTGTAGACCCAGCTCTTTCATCAACCAACAGTAATGGTCCAGCTGTAGGCCAGATTCTCACACAAACCTACATTAATGATCCAGTTGTAGACCCAGCTCTTTCACCAACTTACAATAATAGTTCAGTTGTAGATCCACCTCTTACATCAACGTACAATAATGGTTCTGTTGTAGACCCAACTCTTCCATCAGCCAACAGTAATGGTCCTGTTGTAGACCCAGTTCTTTCACCAACCAACAATAAAGGTCCTGTTCTAGATCCAGCTCTTCCATCAACCTACTATAATGGTCATATTGTAGACCCAACTCTTCCATCGACAAACAATAATAGCCCAGTTGTGGATCCAGCCCTCACACCAAACTACAATAATGGCCCTGTTGTAGACCCAGCACTTCGTTCAAGCAACAATCGTCCAGTTGTGGATCCAACTCTCACACCAACTTCCAATAATGGCTCTGTTGTGGATGCAACTCTCACACCATCTTACAATTATGAAAATGTTTTAGACCCAGTTGCTCCATCAACAAGCAAAAGTGGTCCAGTTGTGGATCCAACTCTCACATCAACCTACAATAATGGCCCAGTTGTAGACCCAGCTCTTTCATCAACAAGCAATAATGGTCCAGTTGTAGGCCAGATTCTCACACCATCCTACGTTAATGATCCAGTTGTAGACCCAGCTCTTTCATCAACAACTAATAATGGCCCAGTTGTGGATCCAACTCTCACATCAACCTACAATAATGGTCCAGTTGTAGACCCAGCTCTTTCATCAACCAACAGTAATGGTCCAGCTGTAGGCCAGATTCTCACACCAACCTACATTAATGATCCAGTTGTAGACCCAGCTCTTTCACCAACTTACAATAATAGTTCAGTTGTAGATCCACCTCTTACATCAACGTACACTAATGGTTCTGTTGTAGACCCAACTCTTCCATCAGCCAACATTAATGGTCCTGTTGTAGACCCAGTTCTTCCACCAACCAACAATAAAGGTCATGTTCTAGATCCAGCTCTTCCATCAACCTACTATAATGGTCAAATTATAGACCCAACTCTTCCATCGACAAACAATAATAGCCCAGTTGTGGATCCAGCCCTCACACCAAACTACAATAATGGCCCTGTTGTAGACCCAGCACTTCGTTCAAGCAACAATCGTCCAGTTGTGGATCCAACTCTCACACCAACTTCCAATAATGGCTCTGTTGTGGATGCAACTCTCACACCATCTTACAATTATGAAAATGTTTTAGACCCAGTTGCTCCATCAACAAGCAAAAGTGGTCCAGTTGTGGATCCAACTCTCACATCAACCTACAATAATGGCCCAGTTGTAGACCCAGCTCTTTCATCAACAAGCAATAATGGTCCAGTTGTAGGCCAGATTCTCACACCAACCTACGTTAATGATCCAGTTGTAGACCCAGCTCTTTCATCAACAACTAATAATGGCCCAGTTGTGGATCCAACTCTCACATCAACCTACAATAATGGTCCAGTTGTAGACCCAGCTCTTTCATCAACCAACAGTAATGGTCCAGCTGTAGGCCAGATTCTCACACCAACCTACATTAATGATCCAGTTGTAGACCCAGCTCTTTCACCAACTTACAATAATAGTTCAGTTGTAGATCCACCTCTTACATCAACGTACACTAATGGTTCTGTTGTAGACCCAACTCTTCCATCAGCCAACATTAATGGTCCTGTTGTAGACCCAGTTCTTCCACCAACCAACAATAAAGGTCATGTTCTAGATCCAGCTCTTCCATCAACCTACTATAATGGTCAAATTATAGACCCAACTCTTCCATCGACAAACAATAATAGCCCAGTTGTGGATCCAGCCCTCACACCAAACTACAATAATGGCCCTGTTGTAGACCCAGCACTTCGTTCAAGCAACAATAGTCAAGTTGTGGATCCAACTCTCACACCAACTTCCAATAATGGCTCCGTTGTGGATCCATCTCTCACACCATCTTACAATTATGAAAATGTTTTAGACCCAGTTGCTCCATCAACAAGCAAAAGTGGTCCAGTTGTGGATCCAACTCTCACATCAACCTACAATAATGGCCCAGTTGTAGACCCAGCTCTTTCATCAACAAGCAATAATGGTCCAGTTGTAGGCCAGATTCTCACACCAACCTACGTTAATGATCCAGTTGTAGACCCAGCTCTTTCATCAACAACTAATAATGGTCCAGTTGTGGATCCAACTCTCACACCAACTTACAATAATGGCCCCGTTGTAGACCCAGCTTTTCCTTCAACTTCCAATAATGGCTCCGTTGTTGATCAAACTGTCACACCATCTTACAATTATGAAAATATTTTAGACCCAGTTGCTCCATCAACAAGCAAAAGTGGTCCAGTTGTGGATCCAACTCTCACATCAACCTACAATAATGGCCCAGTTGTAGACCCAGCTCTTTCATCAACAAGCAATAATGGTCCAGATGTAGGCCAGATTCTCACACCAACCTACGTTAATGATCCAGTTGTAGACCCAGCTCTTTCATCAACAACTAATAATGGTCCAGTTGTGGATCCAACTCTCACATCAACCTACAATAATGGTCCAGTTGTAGACCCAGCTCTTTCATCAACCAACAGTAATGGTCCAGCTGTAGGCCAGATTCTCACACCAACCTACATTAATGATCCAGTTGTAGACCCAGCTCTTTCACCAACTTACAATAATAGTTCAGTTGTAGATCCACCTCTTACATCAACGTACAATAATGGTTCTGTTGTAGACCCAACTCTTCCATCAGCCAACATTAATGGTCCTGTTGTAGACCCAGTTCTTCCACCAACCAACAATAAAGGTCCTGTTCTAGATCCAGCTCTTCCATCAACCTACTATAATGGTCATATTATAGACCCAACTCTTCCATCGACAAACAATAATAGCCCAGTTGTGGATCCAGCCCTCACACCAAACTACAATAATGGTCCAGTTGTAGACCCAGCTCCTCCATCTATAGCTGCTCGCGTCAACAATGACTCCTTCATCATGGAACCAGCTTTAATAACTAACATCAATAACGCTTCGTCTGTTGCGGACCAATCATCCTTAAACCCTGGAATAAATAACATCAACAATAATTTCGTTAATGGCCAAAACGTGACTGGAGCATCAATTAATCCTGTGAATCAATCTTTACAGAATATATTTTCTGTTGGGCAAGGTCAAATTCTTAAAGAGGCTTCCACTAATAGCCAAATGCATCTGAACGAAAGTACAAGTGTCCAGAGGTCTGGTTCGCAAAACTCAATTGTAAATGACAACACGACGACGAATATTAATCAGTTCACTCAAAATCATGCAAACCATGTCCACAAGAGTCAGGTAAATACTTCTTCTTTGACAAATTCACAAATATTGAATTATTTGCTTCTGCCCGATATCCTGGGATCAAGCAGGCTCCCGGCTATCCCTGTGATATCCAATACGACCTTACCAACTATGAATAATGGCTCGGCAGCTTCACCTAGCCCATCCAGCTCAAATGGTTCAAATATTCACTCGAAAATGTACGATGCCCTTTTTAATCAGGGGGACAAAATTGATAAAATACTAAAACATGTAAGCAGAGTTCCGATATGGCACAGCTATACATTCAAGAACGGTACCACAATAACGTGGATAACAATAGAATCTAGATCAGCAGTAGACAACAGTATCACTAAACAAACTACTTCATCCAGCAATACAGTACTTGAAACAACGAACAAGAATTCACCGCCTTTAAAATCTAAGGCCAGATTGGCCAGTCAAACATCAGCACAAACCACAGACCCAAAAAGAGTCAACGAACCGGGAACACCGTCAAATATGGAAAACAGTAATGGTGATCCTTTAGTTTCCGAAATCGGTACGAAAGAGGAGATAAGTCCAAATTTTGATGTCATGCCAGCTTCCACTTTACAGAAACCGCAAAATTCGGTAATAAATGGTGTACAGTATCATCTTTCAAATAACAAACATTCACCAACAAATACCAATGGAATCGAAAATTTGTCTCCTATTAAAGATCAACCACCTGTGGGCCGAACAGAAGTCTATTTTCCGTCCGAAATTGCTATACCTACTGATGTGACAGCAAAAAACAAGCTCGATTCTCCGCTACTTGAACAACAGTTTTCGTCTTACAGTGGAATAACACCATCCACAATGGGCATTGTTAACAATGTACAAGGCATCGGTGTCACGCAGGATTCATATACACAAAACGAAAACCCGAAAACTATCATCCAGTATCATCCAAAAAATCAAGATGTAGGGGCTATTCCAGTAGTTAACACGGGTATATCCGATTCAGAGGATCAAAAACAGGAATTAAACATACCCATAATTACAACCATGCCAACAGTCAACAACATTAACCCAAATTCCACTGTGCCCAAGACACCCATGAAAATGAAACGACCGGTTTCTGCCGAAATCTTTGACACTGGCCCAGCATCTAAACTACAACCAGAATTGACTACAATTCCTCAGAAAGATTATACTTCTCGGCACACTGCTGGAGATATATCTTATGTGGAGAGCCCTTTGAACATAAATCTGAGAAAGGCTGCGTCGGTTGATGATAACTCCAAGGCAGTACCAAATGGATCAGCCGACCTTGCTGAAATCAAAGCTATATTGAAGATGTACGATATCCGAAGTAGTCAAGAACTACAAAATCTGGTAAGTTGTTGTATAGTTTATCGTTATTTCATAAAATAGACCATTTTATATTCTTATAATTAGAACCGTAAATGGGGCCCTGTTATATTTTATGCGGGTTTATGGACTGCTTTCTCACCGGGTCTGGAGACTATCGCAGTTCTTAGCCAGTTATGTGACACTGACAACTTTTTAAATTTTGATTATTATTTACATTTCAGCTACATAACAGGAACTCGCAAGAGAATAAAGAAAAGTTCAACTCAATCAAAGATTATTTTACTGGTCCTAAAACAAATTGCCCAGTGGACAAACCATGTTTATGGTGTAGGTCATCTCCAGCCTGGAGTTTTGTGGATGGAATAACAGGTTGGTGTATGAGAAACTGTAAAACAAGTCGATGTGAACATAATCAGTGTAAGTGCGCGTGTGTGGACGCCGATGAATTTTCTAGGCGGCTTATTGCTATAGCATCTAGTGATCTTCGAGGTTAATGCTTGCCAATTAGTTTTCGAAAACCAAATCAAATCCACACGTGTAGTTAATCATAATACTGATCTAGTCTACAAAATCTTACTGCTCCGGGATATCCTATGGACAAATGTCGAGCCATTCAATGCTCTGAGTGGCAGGGGTATAAGATTCTACAGGCTGCACTGATCTTGATCCACTTGCTTGAATGCCAAAAACTATTTATTTGATTTTTATTGTATGTATAGTGTATATAAATATATATAAGTGTGAATGCTTACATGCCTTTGAACTAAATGAGTGCTTACATGCCTTTTAACTAAATAAGTCTTTAATTGTACGGGGGTTTTTTCAATGACAAAAAACAAAACTGAGATTATGCTGTCATGTTTGAGTAGGAGAATTGCATCTTAAAGATGACAAAACGAGTTATAAACACAAAAAAACATCAACCAAAGGGTAATATTTTTCCTAACATAACAGACAAGTTCTAATATATTATATAATGTCCTACGAAATAATATATTAGAGAATGTTCAGTGAAAATACTCATTATGTACATAACTTTCATCTATAATGTTATTTTTTGTAATTAACAATGACAGATACTCTATCATAATTATTTATGTATTTTGTTATCTCTTTTCGGATACCTGTAATTAACTATAAAATAACAAAACTATATTTTTTACAAAACTCTTTGTCGATAATTCAAACTACCACACACAGCACAGTTGCGGAAAGATTCATCTCCCTAAAACATTGCAGTGCCCCTTGTTCGCAACACGTGTTAATAGTAATAGTAATTCCATTAAACCTATCAACAATGTGTCGGGTGGTGGGAGGGGCATAGTGCGCTGCATAGTTCCATGATAACATAATTATGACAATTGGTGTTTTCACGATGGTGTAAGCGCCCTGGATATCAATTCCATCAAATACATAAAATGGAATTCGACAGAACGAGAATGCCGAAAATCATTATTTTATGGTAAAGGCAGGGAGGTGGGAGGGGGGGGTATAAAATGTGGCTTTTAAAAGTTGGTGCCTGAACACAAAGAACGCGGCATTGCGTTAATTCAGGAGGGTACGAGTACTAGAGCAACTAGAAGCAACTTTGGTGTAGAAGGAACCATTCAGAGGTTTATCTCCTTCACGCGGCGACGTTGCATATTGTGTGTGGCTGCTTGGTATGGACACATACACAATTTCGAATTTTACCCTTGTGTTTAGCAGGTTTCAATGTTATTTAATGTTGTTGTGGCCAATATTTAGCCTACAATCAGGCCAAAAATCACGTTTCAGCTGTAATACCGGCACTTCCAGTCAACCCGTGGTGCGTTGTCATCGTGCCTCAGTATATTTACTAAAACTCCAGCTACCTAACAGGTAACGTGTCCCCTCAGTACAAATCTCAATCATTCTGATAAATTTTTGACATAATACCTTATGTTAGATGTTGTGGAAAACCCGAGGTAATTTCCCGGCCAACAACGCGAGCGATCACTAGACCAAACATAAAAAAATATCTTTCATTTCTAACATTGTAAATACAATTAAATATAATATTCTGGATTCGAATGAGGCGCCCCGCATATATTTAATAAATAATATACGTTAGCTCTTTGGGGAGGCAGAAAGAGAGAAATGGGGTTTAACGTCCACTAGAGACAAACTAGGTCATTTCGGGATTATCATAATTTCAATTTTCTTTCAATAATTCAATTGCGCGTAGGGGTGGGATGAAACCGGAGGACCGGGTGAAAACCCACGAGGTTGAACAGGCGACCCTACTCCTTGTCGCGTACAACCGGGGAATCGAAACCACGCCAGTTGACACGCGCTAATCATTCGGCCATCCAACCGCCTTTGTGAAGGATCTCGAGTTATATTTATCCTCTTTCCCGTGCTATACTATCTGAAGTCCTGTGAAACTTTTTAAAACAGATTTAAACGACCAGTTTTATTTATGATTGGCGGCAAGTTTCCAAAATTTTTATATGCCAAAAAATAAACGTATTAAAAGTGATACGCAAATAAAAAGGTTATATTGAAACCAAAAGAAAATCTATATTTTTTTATTATCTTTTTATAACTAACGAAGGGCTATAAAAACTCTACAAACCCTGTGTAATAACAGTTTCCGGTGACAACAGCCTGTGGCTGAACTATACTTAGATTGTGTGAGAACCTTGGTAAAGTCAAATTTGTTGTTATTTATGATACAGATCAACGTTAATTGCCATTAATTTACAATATACTTTTGGCTAAGATGTCAATTATTCAGATGTTTCAATTTATCTTAGTCGCTCATTATTGGTCAGTTGAGCGTAATTAAATAACACCATTGACACAATTCACTAATTTGTGTGATGTAGTACCCTTTTGTTGGATTGACAGTGAAATAACACCATCGTAATTTATGACACAATAAATCTATATTCAACACAAAGACAGACAAAGACACCATGTTTTGTTCTTGCGTTTCGGGACACTGTTGTCTTTATGCGTTTAGGGAAACTACTTTTTTTGAACGTTTGGTTCAATTTTATTTCAATAATTTGCTTGCGCGTACACTGTAACAAAAATTTCCGTGAAAAAACGTAAAAAATTCCGGAAACAAAAATTACCAGGAAAATTTTATCCGTATTTGTTTTTCCTGTAATTTACAGAAATTTCTTCAATTAACATAAATTCATTTTCAAATACAGAAAAAAAAAATCCTGGTAAATTTTGTTTCCTGACCATGAAGGTGATAAAAATTTCATTGAATTAACCATTGACTTTATACGCGTGCGTGAAATAGCTTTATTTAACGTCCGCGTCCACCGAAGTGATATCGCAAATAATTTTTAAACGTAACCTCTTTTCGCTATTATAAGAATCGAGAGCAAGGTATCACAAACCGCTACTCGTCAGTGTTTGGAGGCTTTCAGATGTAAGTTTGCGGTATTATCAATTCGCAGGTATGCAGGCTCTGCCATAGAGACAACCCGACTTACACTGGCCAACCGGTTGTACTATCCGGACTTTAGCGTGCTTGATTACCAGATATTACAACCTTAACACCCGCAGCATTAAAACATACTTTTACATATTTATGAAAATACTTACAATCTGATTACCGTATGATGAATAACAATACACTTTATAGATCTTATAAATAATGGAAATTAGATATACATGTCAATTAATATACCAAACGTTACAAAATATGATTCTTCATATTATGGTTAATAAATTGAAATGAATACTATAACATGATGATTATTAGGAATGATTATATATGTATACGATTACTTATCGTTGCACCGTTTATCCTGTAAAACAACAGAATTAAGTCCATTACAGAACGGAATAAAACATTTTATCCCTAAATTTCACGGAACTTCCTTGTCATTCCACCGTTTATTCCGTAAAATAACAGAATTAAGTCCGTTATAGAAGGGAATAAAACATTTTATCCCTAAATTTCACGGAAATTTCCTGTTTAATACTGAATATTCCACAGAAATACATAAAACACGTAATTTGAAGAAATAATTCAGACAATTAACACAATTTCTCCAAAAAATCCATCGATTAACAGAAAAAAAGTGTTAAATTACGGAATTCGGCCACATAAAAAATGGATATTTTTTACAGTGTAGGGGTCTTTAGCAGTAGGAGGAAACTCGGGTTAATGGAGACGAGCGTTGTGTGCTTTGAGAGAAATATTAACCTGTGCCACTGCCAGGAAAATCCCGTTAACTTCCTCGGCCATCACCAGCAACGCACCCACCATACTCGCGGACCCTCGGTGGCTCCTCAGTGCTTTGGTTTAGATAAGAATCTTACACCGATGGGCTTTGTGAGCAAATATATGCAGACCATTACGTATCAGTGGAATAAAGTAAAAGACAATTAAATTTTATTGATAAAAGTGCTAATGTCTATTTAAACCTCCTTTTTTTTGGGGGGGGGGGGGATTTGTTAAGTATACGTCTCTGTAACGTTTAGACCATCTTAATAAATTGCCATTGGTCTTTGTCTAGATAACTTGGTAACTTGGCTCGTAAGATGTTTTGGCCGGCGGCTATAGGTCGCCATAAATGGTAATGTGGCTATATTCGGAAACAATATTCCGAGGCTTGACAAAATGTTATAAATTAATGCTGTTATTATTATTAATTATATGAGATGAAATATTGTGTTTTATATGTGAATGCCACCATTATTTTACAAATTGGGGCGTTGTGACAAGGCAAAAATATTTATATCAATATATTATTATAATTTACATTCTTTGGCGATAATTAATAAAATACACTTTATGCAATCATCATCTTCTGTCATTTTTGTCCGAACAGTAACTAAATGTTTTGGTAAATAAAATAAGCATTTATTTATTGAATAAGTCATTACTAATTGGTAGACCTAATTTTTAAGCTTATGGCCGTCATCATTTTCTATCATTTTTAGTAGAAATGAAATGAAATGGGGTTTAACGTCCTACCGTTCTTCTCCGAACTGGGCTAATGAAGACGGGCATACGCCATACAGTGTGCTGTGAGGGAAATTTTGCCCGGACAGCGGCACTACGGCCTACTCTTATATCGAATTCCAACTGTCAAGGGATCTTATACGTGCACGTTAATGTGTATACGGGACCTCGGTTTTCCGTCCCATTTTTCTGCATCACTGACAAGGGGGAACCCCGCCGGCCCGGACAGCGGCACTACGGCCTACTCTTATATCGAATTCCAACTGTCAAGGGATCTTTTACGTGCACGTCAATGTGTATACGGGACCTCGGTTTTCCGTCCCATTTTTCTGCATCACTGACAAGGGGGAACCACGCCGGATAATCTAGATGAACTTTCTCGGCCAATGCAGGGATCGAACACCCGACCTCTAGGCTAGCGAGCCAGCGTCTTACCCACTTAGCCACCGTGACCCCCATTATAAGTATGTCCCTACGCTTCAATAAAATGTTTTCGTATTTATTGAATTTGATCGTGATATTCTTTATTTATTGATAAAAGTAATTTATAAACTTCGTCGTCAAATGGTAGGAATTTTCGTGATCAACAAAATAGATAACTGTTTATGGAATTTAATATCAACAAAATTTTAGACATACATTTAAAACATTCGGCAATGTGTTTGTAAGTTACAGATTTCCAAAATCATGTCAACTTCCTGTACCATAGTCATAGCCAAGTAGTCAAAAAGTAGTTCTGAATATTCAGATAATTAGTGTCAGCAAATGCTGTAAATGTCATATTTGAAATGTTTTGAACGTGCTGCTTATCGTTATAAATATTCAACACGATTAAAATACAACTAATCTGAGGAACGAGAGAGAGAGAGAGAAATGAGGTTTAACGTCCACTCGACACAAACTATGTCATTTCGGGACTAACACATGGTTCAATTATATTTCAATAGTTCGCTTGCGCGTATGGGTCTT